TTTTATTATATTTATATTCTTTAAAAATTTTAAATTTTAATTAAATATATTTATTATTAAATTTATATTTTAAAAATTTTTTATATTTTATTATCAAAACGGTGCCCAGACCTACCAGCACTGCTCTTATGCGAAAAACTGATGAGAGAGTATGTTCCAAAAAAATTAATAATTAAGGAAGACTTGGGAAAGGGCAACTGGCAAGTCTTCTCTTCACAGAATCACAGGAGACAATGCATACTGATCCTCTTTCAAGAGACTGTCAATTGCGGGACCGGCGTTGTCAATTCTCCTATCAATAATTGAGAAAGACTATGTAAAAAGTAATATTAATAATAATTGAGGAAGACTTCGGAAAGAGAAAGAGGACAAGTCTTCTCTTCACGGTACAGTAAATACTAAATATATAAAGGAAATCCTCAGCCTTATAATTCTCTTATCATATCAATAATTGAGAAAGACTACGTAAGAAAAATAATAGTAATTGAGGAAGACTTGGCAAAAGAAAACAAGACAAGTCTTCTCTTCACCGTGAACAGTAAATACTGAATATATAGAGGAGATGCTCTTTCGAAATACTGTCAATTGCGGGACCAACTTTGTCAATTCTTTTTTTGAAAATAGGTAATGAGCTTTGTCAAATCTCTTATTACATCAATAATTGAGAAAGAGAATGTACCAAAAAAATAATAATAATAATAATTGAGGAAGACTTGGAGAGGGAAACAGAACAAGTCCTCTTCACGGTGAACAGTAAATACTGAATTGTCCTACAACTTTTGAGAACGCTTGTTCGGGATGAAAAAAATAAATAAATATATAAATAATAAAAAACAGTGCTTATTAAGGAAAAGGTTTATTTATTTATTTATTTTAAATAGGTTATTTGGCGTTTTCTTATATTTTATTTTAATATTGTAATAAAAGAAAAAATTTTGATATAATGAATTATATATTAAAAATATAATTTATCTTATAAATTTGTTTAAATATTTTTAGTAAAATTATTTTTTATATTATTACATTATGAATTTGTAAAATTTTAAAATAAATTATACTTTTAATGTATAATCTATTATATAAAATTTAAATCTTATAAGAGAAAGATGAAAGTATTATTTGTAATTTTTATTTTTAGTAAAATTTTTAATTAGTTATTTTTATATTCTTTACATCTCAAAAAAATAAAATTTTTTATTTTAATAAAAATTAATTTTTACTTGTACTCATATTACTTCTAAAAAAATAAAAATAATGTAAGTTAAATCACAATAAAATTAGATAATTAAATTAAAAAGATAAAATTAATAATTTTAACAAAGTAAATAGTGGCAATGACTTCATAGCCTTGAGAAATGAAGAGATTCGATTATCTCCTATTTATTTTTTTAATTTACAATATAATGTCTTTAGTTTAATTTTTATGTATTTTAAAATTATTTTTTAAATAATTTTAAAAACATATTTTTGTACTAATTTTATATATTTAAAAAAATTAATTTTTTAAAATATTAATTTTAAATTTAAAACTTAAATTTAATTTATAAAATAACACTTATTAATTAATAAATTTAATCTTAAAAATTAATTATCTTCTATTTATAACCCTCAATCGAATATTGAAAAACACATCACATCCACCTTACAGAAGTGGCTGTTTCCAATATAGTTTCATCCCTTAAGATTTTTGTTTCCACACAATCAGATTAATTCTTACATTTCTTGAATTGATCCAAGTTGTAAGGCATCCATAGGTGACGAGCGCCATACCTCAAGAGATAACCCATCCTTCTCCTTTGCTTTAATCCAATAACAGATTCTATACTTTACCAGTTCCACTCTCTTTTTCATTAAATTTCTCCGATCCAAAATTCTTCTGATTCCGCCTTTCCCAAATGGTCCATACCACTGCAAATTGCAAACCACGATGGTACTCCAATTGTTTGTTCCCTCCACTTTCTTTTCGGTGCCAGACTGAAGGGTCCACGTGTTTGTAAAGTGTTGCCTCCCATCATGACTAGCTGTCAAAACGTGCCCACCATTGTTGATACATTTTGTCCATATTTCCCAGGACAGGAGGGAGAGCAACAAATGATCTTTCTTTTCCTCCTACTGACTACGGTTGGGCAAAAAATATATAATTTTTTTTTTCACGTGGACGTTCTTGGGAAAAAAAAAGGTAATTGTAAAAAAAGAAAAAGAAAAACTGATGAAATCGTAATTAAGTGGTAAATTTTGATTAGATTTTAAATTTATTTGATTAAAAATTAAATTGTATTAATTTAAAATGATTTAAGTTTTGATTGTTAAATTTAAAAAATAAAAAAATAATGATTAAGGTAATTATAATTAAAAAAATTTGACTCAAAACTTTTTATATAAAATTTTTAATAATTTATAGATTTTTTAAAATTTTTTTTATTATTTTACCAAATTCTTTATTTATTTAGATAATTTTTAGTATTTTTAATGATAATAATTAATAAATAATAATTAAAAAATTTTAAAAGTGTGCTTAAAAATCGTAAGACTTTATATATTTAAAAAAATTAATTTTTTAAAATATTAATTTTAAATTTAAAACTTAAATTTAATTTATAAAATAACACTTATTAATTAATAAATTTAATCTTAAAAATTAATTATCTTCTATTTATAACCCTCAATCGAATATTGAAAAACACATCACATCCACCTTACAGAAGTGGCTGTTTCCAATATAGTTTCATCCCTTAAGATTTTTGTT